AACCATAAACTAGTCAACACATTGCAACGCTATCTCTGTTAATCATGCAAAGTCATAGATAATATAATTAGCCGATTCATATAATTCCAAGTCTGGTGAAGACACTACAACGCTTGGTCAAAAGCGACGTCGACTAATCTTAAAGGGGAACAATACGTCGTTTACGGCAATATTATTGATCAACACATTGTAGCGTATCGCCTGCAAATGACCTCGGCTAACTTCACGATGCAGAATATATGATTTCGGCTGATTAAGCTGAGGTTGCTTACAGTCACTCTAGAATTAATAAATAATAAAGTTACAAACACGCGCCTTGGCAGCACGCAACCTCGATTAAATTTAGATAGACGATTTCATCTGATTTAAGCCAAGATCATTTGCTTCTGAGGTTCCACAATTAATACCAAATCAATTCATTATTGGTCCACACATTGTAGCGCATCGGCCGCAAATGACCTCGGCTAACTTCACGATGCAGAATATATGATTTCGGCTGATTAAGCTGAGGTTGCTTACGGTCGTTCTACAATTAATGTCATATTAATAATAAACTTGCAAACACGCGCTTCGGGGGCAAGCAACCTTGGCTAAACATAGATAAACGATTTCGGCTGATTAAGCTGAGGTTGCTTACAGTCACTCTAGAATTAATAAATAATAAAGTTGCAAACACGTGTCTCGGCGGCAAGCAACCTCAATTAAATTTAGATACGCGATTTCGTCTGATTTAAGCCAAGATCATTTGCTTCTGAGGTTCCACAGTTAATACCAAATCAATTCATTATTGGTCAACACATTGTAGCGTATCGCCTGCAAATGACCTCGGCTAACATCACGGTGCAGAATACCGTGATTGTATATGATTTCGGCTGATTAAGCTGACGTTGCTTACGGTTGCTCTACAAGTAATATCATATCTCATTAATCTCAATTAATTATCCCGGCTAAACTTAGAAAACGATTTCCTTTGATTTAAACCAAGATCGTTCGCTTATGAGGTTGTACTGTTAATACCATATCAACACAAAATTTATCAACTTTACATTGAGTTAACATATACAGCGTTACATATCGATCAATTCTCATATTCTTATGCTACACTTTGCTTTCTTAGTTGACATAGAATAAGTGAATTACATTCTGCACCTAAATGGAAATAGCTGTTCATCAATAACACACACAATCCGATGAAATATAATTACTGCACTTATCTATCACTGCAGTATACCTTCCCTTATCTGGATGTTTATCATTCTGATAGTTTCTTTTTCGATAAATGTACTATTAGTGCTCTTCATCCACATCAATCTGATTAACATCCGAGTTAAATTCAATTTGAATATATAGCAGGGTAAATTTTCATTCGTGTAACAAATATGTATCAGTTATAATCTATCTAAAATCAATTTTAATTCAGGCGATTAATTAAAAGTTTTAACACCTTTTTCAAACTCATTTATTCTAATACAAACGTTTATTTTTAGCACTGGTATAAACAACAGCTTTAGTACCTAAATTAGCCGAAATGAAACATCACGACCTTGGTACACAAATAATTGTGGCGTAATAAGGTAGCCAATATATATTTTTGTTGATGCCAAATAAAAATAATTCAAAAAAGCCGACATTATTCATATGGTGTTATCTTTACAGAGGATAAAGTAATTAAAGTCATCATACATATATCTTTTACGATTAATATTTACCTATAAAGAAGAAAATTGCTGAGGCTGTTTGGTCTAGGTATATCTAGAGCTATAATTAGCTCCTTCTTAACATCTCTTGTGGGGTCCTCCGTAATGTTCACATCAACATAACAATGTTCAGCATTTACAACAGATTCTAGGGATGGGGTTTGCAAGGTATACATTTGATGTTGAGTTTTGTATCAATTCCTCTAGGATAATGATATATTCTCTTTTTTCAATTTGATTGCTTTATGAATAGCCGAACTTTTAGTCTATTTTGAGTCAATTTTCTATATCAAGATGGTTATCTATGATTGGTAGGCTCTTTCATATTTGTTATAGTCAAATCTTTTCCCAATGGTATTAAAAATATCCGGCCTCTAAAATTTCAAAGCTTCAGGGAACCAACTCTACCTATGGGAAGCGCTAGGTGGAGGAAGTACCCCAATAGTTGCCACAACCGGTCCCAAACCCAAGCAAAGGAAGAAACTTTAGTAGAATGGCTAAAAACTACCCTAATGGACTGAAAAAAAAACAGTCAAGCCTCGGAATTAGATGGATCAGAATTAGACGACTATGGCAAGGAAAAGAAATAAGATTGTTTGGACAAGGAAAAACAGAATAGGAGTACTATAGATAGATAACCGAAAAATCTGTACATTCTAATTGAAGAACGTACTCAACACACTAACGTCCAGAAAAGTACTTTATAATACAATACGGCTAATTGAGGATATAAACACAAACAATAACATTTAAACAAGATTAAAGTATACAACGTTGCCACTGAGGAAATTCCGATTTTCTAGGAGATTAGACAGAGCATTCTCTTCAATCTAGTTAAAGAAAAGATAATAGAACAGTCCTCAAGATGGATACAAAATGGGGAAACGGTAATCATACTATGATATGCAGATGATGTACAAGACATTAGTGATGTTTAGGGAGCCTCGAATATGCAAGCAAAATCATAGAATATGACCTTCAACTATCTAGGAGGTGTAATTTCAAGCGATCACAACCTACAAGGAGGGGCATAACCAGGCAGCAACAGCATTAAAGATCGCAAGATGCCTCTCTACCATTTTGGCAAGCATTTTGGAGACCATCCAACTGGAGAGTAAAGTCAAAATATACAATGCGAATGTTCGTGGAGTTCTACAGAGTAGAAACATAGAAAGAAAAGCAGAAACTAAGAATGGTAGAGAAGTCAGTCTTCAGGTTAATCCTAGGACTTTCTTCACAAGACCGACAAACAAACGAGATGCTGTATACAGGATATTGGGAAGTGGGTCAAGGAAAAGAAGCGCAATTGGAGTCAACGTATGGACAGAATGGTGGAAGACCAAAAAGCCAAAATATGCAAACAAAATCGAGAGGAAAAGAAATATCACAAAAAAATTGTGCATCATCCGTTGAACAACAGTAGAAATTCTAAAGTAATAAGAAGAAGAAGAACAAATCAAGTAATCTGCGTTATCAACATCGCCCAAACAACTATCTAACAATTTATCTAGGTACTATTTTATTTTGCTAATTGCCAAATCGAAAATAAATTCACATTTGAAAGAATCTATATCGTGACGATATCTTGAAATTGGTACTCCACATTTTTGCAGTATTTTCTTTTCCGCAATGTAACTCTCCCACTGATATTAGATTTATGTGTGTAATTCTACTTTTGACATCTCCATCCAATATACTCCTTTCCCTGTGTTACTGTGATTTTAATGTGGTTCAATGTTGGAAAAGTTATGATGTGATGTTGGGTTGGGTTGATACGCTATTGATTGCCTTGAGTGGATTGGTTAAGGCACAAATAAAATAATAGTATCACATAAAGTAGAATTAATGGTATCTATGCTGTGTTCCAACTTGTTGTGTTGTTATAAATCAACGTAAGAGATCTGTTAAACATTTCGTACCTTCGGTTTCTTGCCTGAGATTAGTCATTTGAGATATATGAACCTTTTAATCCAATTTCAGACCGAAGGTACAAGATTTTACCTTAATATCTTTCACGACCATTTACAACAGCGTTATCAGATGGGATAATAGATAGAAGTGGAAGACAGTTTTAGGTTTTTCCAGTTAACATCATTAACTCAGTATCTTATTGATTTAGCTATTTAATTACTTAATTAATCATTTAGATCTCAAATATCTATAATTTTTTATTTATATTGTTCAAAATCTCTAAAATGATCTTGAAACAAATCTAAGCTAATGTTCAACATTTTGAGTATCATTTTGTGTCAAATGATATTAAACATTACAACATTTAAAACAACATTCTAATCAATTGAACACACTCGACCGAATCAAGTACAACCTTGAGGCAATTTTAATTTGACGTTTATATAACGTATCTTTATAGATTTTATCTATTTATGTCAATAAATTTAGCAAATTTATGTAACTAAATTAAGTAAACACAACTATTTAATTGACTCTTAATAATTTTTACAAGAATTATGCGTGTAACCTCCCCATTTGAACATAACGAGAACGCGTAACTAAGTTGTTTATGGTATTTGCCTTGGTTCATGGTATAAATTGTGCCCGTATGATTAGTTTGACTGAGAAAATTATTTCCGCTTGCACAATTGTTTGTATTAACGTGTGACGACGTCTTAATCGTTCGTTTAACATTGAAACGATAGGGAATTTTGTATTTATGGAAAAGTGCATTGTCTATATTTTGTTTAAAAATAGAAAGTTGTATCATTATTTATCTATTTATGTGTTATTGGTTTCTTATTATGTGTTATTTTCTATCTATTTCTAAATAGGCAAGAATGAGTGAGTGATCGTGAACTATTAATTAAAACTGACCTTGTTATATCGGTGTATTAGTAAATATTTTTAGATGATGACAAAGATGTAAAATTAATCTTTTTTTAATCGTAAGGGTCATTGTTTTTGTTTAATTTATTTTATAGAAACATAAAGTAACGAAAAATAGCCATTTTTTGTTTGTTATAGTTTACTTTCTCTTCAACATTTACTAGGTTAAGTGTAATCAGCAACTTTTTTATCAATTTTCTTTTGTTACTTTAAATGGAAAGTTATAAGTTATAGAATCATTTAAATAAGATGTTAATTAATCTGTTTTAATGTTTTACTTTAAATGCATCTCACCCAGATACAACTTCTTAATTACCACCTACACGTTAATTTCCCTTCAACCTCATTAACTCTTTTTCGTCCCACATTTCCACCTTTTCTTTAAACTACTTATTGGAAAATAATAAATTTTAAATCATCAAAATTAAGAATAAAACATAAATTTATAACATAAACACATACCAATGTTAAACGAGGTCTTCTAGAAATCAACGGTTTGTTATGATGATGGTAGTTTTAATCCAAAGGAACGAAAAGAAAAAAGGATACACAAAAAACTCACTGTAATTTGATCTATTTTAATAATTATTATTAAAATAATTGTTTCGCGTAAACTTAATTTTTTAAAACTTTTTTTTTTATTTGTTTAAGTCAAAGAAGTCTTTTGAAAAACTGATGGCGTTCGATGAAACTCGGAGGTGTATCGGTCAACCGTTCAGAACGACTGATCGGCGTAGACTGAAGTTTCCTGCTGGTTGCTGCAGGACAAGCGTAGTCCGGAGGCCTCCGCACACACCTCGGCACAAGAACTGGTCGTTCGGCTTCGACCGCAGGTGATAGCGTGTGTATACGGCGAAGTTGCTGCCTTGCTTTGTGAATAAAGGCAAAACGAATTTTGAAGGTGTAAAAGGTTTTTCGTTATTAGTATGGTTTTAAGTTGGATGTAAAACAAAATTAGATTTACAACAAAATGAGATTTATAATAACATTTTTAGAAAAGGAATCTAATAAATTTAACCGAGTTGACGAGTAGGTTAATTAAATATAGGTTATTTAAAGATATTAAGCCAAGAAGTTTATTTGTTAAACACTACTTTATCTAATATTTGCAGTTGATAAATAGAGATTAGAGATGCAAAAGTTTGTTGTAAACTGTAATAAGATTACGTTACAAAATCGTTACGTTTTGATATAAAACTTTATTTAAACTTATTTATCTATCATCGAGAATTTTGTTTTTTTTGATTCCACGATTATGGAAACCTTCTTCAAGATAATTCGTCCAACTTAAAAAGGCTTCACTGGAAATAACTTAAAGTGGAATATTGGATGTTACAGCAAAAGTTGCCAATACCTTATGAAGATCATGAAGATGTGAATAAGGTAAGATCGCATTTTAAGCACAGCTTTGTAATAATCTGCTGTAACTCTAACTGTTAAATATCTACATATAAATGTAACCCTTTTTTGCAATTTGACACAAACATTACAATAACTTGTGTAATAAATGTTAACTTATTTGAGTGTGGAACATTTTAGAGTGTTTCGGAATGATCATATCCATCATTTTCGCTCCGCGATGTTATTTAAGGAAATATTGTGGAAAAAAAGTTGGCATGAAGAAAAAAGTTATGTCTTTGCTTTAATATCTAACTGCCTGCAAAACCAAATTTATCATTCAACTTTATATAATGCACGGGAAGTGTGCCTTTAATGATTCTGCCATTATCCTTGATACGAGCATCGTCGATAGCTTAGTTCCAGTAGAATATCTAACCACAATTGAAAAGGCAAAATACAGATAGTATCCACATGTAATACAATGCGTTTGATAGAAATAGAGCAGGCAAAGAACGAGGTAACTGATTAATCTCCACTTTTTAGTGGGGCTTTTAATGATGTGAGACCTCATTCAATGGTATCATCAAAGATCTTTAAGTGTAGGGGTTCTGATCTACCAAACGAAATGGTTCGTCTCCTAGTAATGAGTATGGTTGTGATGAACGATCAACTAACAACAATCTTGGTTCGGAGAAATGGTCCCAAACTGATACAGTTCGCCTATGATGTGTAAGACCATCTATGTTGTTAAAGTCTTGTTGAAGCGAATGAACCAAGCTTTGTAAAGTCAAGCGCAACCAGGTTGTTGGGATCGACATGGTCGGCACCTTTTCACAACAAAATCCAATTATTTCCTCTCTATAAAAAGTCCATGGCACTTATTAGTGATTCAATCATCATCAGCGGTAAGTAATACTGTTTGTTTATCTTCAGATGATATTCTGGAAAGGTTCTAGATGATCTATAATTAAGAAAGTTTTGGGAATGTATACTTTAGCTTTCTATTTTCCCCTAATTTGTAGGTGTCATGGAGTTTACAAATTGCCTTTTATAAGTCTACGCTTGACATTAAGTTCATTAGAACACGATTTGGCCTCCAGAACGAATTTGCTACCTGGGAACAATTAATTGATCGTGTGGGTGGGGCAGAATTGGAGTCGACTGAATGCTTACGTTTCATGAAAAAATACACTGGAAAACATTTTCAGGTTAGTGGTTGTGGTATCTTGTCCATAATGCATATTAAATAATAAAATTGAATTATATTATAATATTAATAACACTGTGCTGCAAACTTTAACTTTTTCTTGTGTACAGTATATCAGTTGAGTGTTTTTAGTTAATTTTGGGTTGCTGATTTCAAATATGCCTTCCATTTTTTCGTAACACGTCACGTTGTTTTTATTCCGGTTTCTCACGGCTGCAAAACTTAGGATTTTATAGGGAAACTATAGATGCAATGAATTTGTTATTTGGTACCTTGATATAAAGTGAAGAGATCTATCTTTTAGTGGTAGTGTCTTCCGGTTACACCGAAAATTGTTACTAACGTCGTGGTCGAAAGTGGTACAAATATAACACTACTTCTAAAACGTAGATCTCTTCACCTTATATCAAAGTGCCAAATATCAAATTCATTGCATCTACAGTTGCATTATAAAATCCTATGTCCAGCAGCAGTGACACACCTGAACAAAAAAAAAACTGTACAAAAATCTTACAGCACAGTGTAATTGTGATAGCAACACGTTCTTGTTTTTATACAGGTGACACAAAAAAACAGGAACTTTTTAACAACCCAACAAAACCAAGAGTGATAGAAGAAAAACATTTTAATCATAGTAATTGAAACCTTAAAATTTGCCATTTAAGAAACATTAATGGAATTTATCATTTTTTTAAAATTACGTCTTGTATCAACGCATTCTTGAAATCTGCTGTTGAGAGTAGTTATTGACTGTTGCAACATTTTAGCTGGGATACTAAATTTTTTGTTTTAACTCATCCAGAGATCATAAGAAAAAATCACAAACGGACAAATCTGGCGACTTAAGAGGCCAGGGAACATAACCAAATCTTAAGATCAGTGTGTGGTATTGCTCCATCCTGTTCAAACCAGGTTTCTTGAACGTACGAAAAATTTTTCAATTCAGATGTAACGAAAGAATGTAACATCTCAATATAACAATTCCCATTAACAGTTACTGCGATCCTCTGCTCGTTTTGAAAGAAATGAGATCCAATGATGCCATATAATGAAACAGCACACCATACTGTCACCTTACTAGAGTGTAAAGGCTCATGAGCGCCTTCATTAAGATTTGTGTCTATCCAGTAACAGTAGTTCTGCTTATTCACGTAACCTGTGAGATGAAAGTGGGCCTCATCTGACATCCACAACTCACTTAGAAATTCATCGTCGATGATTATGTTTATTATCATATGTTGACAGAATTCTAATGGCAAATAACAGATAATCGTTTTCCTTCAGTTGTTACACTATCTGCACCTTGTATGGATGAAATTTCAAATCTAAATGAAGAATTCTGCGAACACTCTCCCGGAACATTTCAACCGAAGCTGCTAGCTTACTAATTGAACGCCGTAGGCTCCCTAAAACAGACTCGCGTACAACTTCTCTGTTCTGTGGAGCACGAGCACTTTTTGATCGTCCTGTTGGTTTCTCCTTTAGGGCAGATCCAGTTTCTTCAAAATTATTAATCCAACTTTTTATCGCGTGTTTTGATGGGACGACACCATGACGTCGTAAGTTGTAAAAACGTCGGAACTCCCTCTGTGCAACCCCTAAACTATCTCTGTTTTTATAAAACGTTTTTATGGCTAACGCACGCTGTTGCTCATTCCACTGATCCATAGTTACTACAATGGCAAAGTGTTTACTTGCTCAAGGTCACTGCAGTGCTGCCAGATGCTCATGGCTGACACTACGCATTTTAAAAATTCTCGTTATTCTGTGTCACCTTATATGTCATGTGCACAGCATGCTACAGCCACTTCTCCTTCTAAAGATGAATAAAGCTTCATCATCAATGATAAGGTAATCAAATTTTTCTTAGTTACATTAGGATGATTACGGATGAAAATAAATCATATCTGACATAGAGCTTATTAGAGAGATTATTGGACACACGGTTTTGCGCAACTTAGTTTGGAAAACCTTGAATGGGCAAACATATCATAAGCTTACTCTCCAGCAACAGCTGTTTCCCAGAAAGTGATCACTGCAGTTGCAATTAAAGTCTTACTGTTGAGACAACTTACCAAAGTCGTGCAGCATTTCCTTGCTTTCTTTGGTTTGGTGCAGGTTGTAAATTTTTGTTCTATTTCCATGCCACTGTTACACATATTGCAATACTCTCAATACCTCATTAATGTCTAAAAAGAGCAGTCGATGTAATTATAGTTATTATGTTTTTTCAATAAGCCAAGTTTTATTCTTTTCAACATATTTATAAGTTGTACTTCAATCGAAGTACGCAGCAAGTTATGGTTGTCTTACTTAAAAACAAAATTTGAAAACACCACCTGGAAGAATTTAATTCACTCAATTATTGGTTCTTCTAACACTGGAGCTAATTACTACATTATGTCTTTACGTCTTTATGTGTTCTCAAAACTTATGACAGAATTGAGGTAGTAACAAACTGTTTGCTATATCTGTTTAGTTCTATATTATTTTAAAAGAATATTTAAATGCAAATGTGGCATAAACCACAAGTAAGCAGTAAGATAAAGGAAATAACTGAAAATACTTTGCAAAGAAACCTCGCACAAAGTTTATGATTACTGTCCTGTTTTCCTTGTGGGAACCGTTTTGCCGTCTATACCAGTAACCATCATTAATATTGGAGCACAGCAATTATTGCATTGCTCTGTAGTATTCCGTGGGGTTTCCTTTTTGTAAGAAATAACCAGTAGCCGGCAGGTAACAACTTCGTGCAACTGTTTTGTAACTAATAATGGATCCTGTAAACGACGACACATCAACAATTATTACCATTTAAAAAATATTTAAGTGTTTAACATATCCATGTTTCACATTTCAGTACTAATATTCACAGAAAATTATAGCCACTTTAAAAAATTTTGTTCTATTCTAATGTTACAAGGAAAGAAAAGTACCTAAATCCGATAAATCCCGTTAAAAAGAATAAGCAAATCTGTTCAGATATCAACTATCGGACCTCTCAGATCCAGTTGCCAGATATCTTCCGCACACCTTCTTATATAGAGAGCGGTTCGTTGCTCCTTCCCGTTACAGGATCTGGCCATTAGCAGTGATGACACGGTAAAAATGGTCCGCGCGTTTCGTTCGTGTGGCCAACACCGAGATGAACTTCTCTTCCTTGAGTACCTTGACTTCTTCTTCATCTCGTAACGACGACGATCCCCGGTGCGAT